ACTGTGGAACACAACGGATCAAGTGGCGCGTGTTCGCCAACAATTTGTTTGCCACTGATCACCAGATTACTCCTTTGTCGCTGCGAGCAATTAAGCGGTCGTTTGCATAAATCAGACGTGTTGTAGCTGTTAATATCATCGATCAGCGAGGGATAACGGAAGCGGATATTGAAGAAATCGATTTTTATCCACATTTGTAAAGTACTTGCAGTTTAGCAATCTTCATTGAGAACGATAATAATTTCGAGTTCAATTATACATTACTTTTACAACGCTTAATCTTCATTACGGAAGATGTAAAACACTCTGAATTACTGTAATCTAACGTACACAGTTACTACAGTCACCTTAGACTTAACTCTCTTATAAACCCAACTATAAATTCGCAAACTTTTTAACGTAACGCAAAGATGTATGGATAATCGAGGAACGTTTCTCGCCATTGTTGAAGAAAAGGAAGAAAAAAATCAAAAGAAAAAAAAGGAAAGAGAGAGAGAGAGAGAGAGAGAGAGAGAGAGAGAGAGAGAGAGAGATACACACGATATCAGGGATGAAACTGGTTCAACCGAGCGATAGGTTGGTAAGGGTTGCTGCCGGTCGTTCGTCCTAGGGCAAAGACCAGGTTAAGTTAGGTGTGATCTCTTATCGGCAGCGCGGAGTAGCGAGTCTACCCACGTTCCTCTTATCTTTCTCGCTTGCCGGTACCCACCGCCGTTGAACTTACAACCCGACCCATACATACATACGTGCGATACATATTGTCGTTTGGATGTAAGAACTCGACGAGCGAGCTCCGCTCGCCGAACAGAAACGACCGACCGTCGAGACTCGTCGTCATATAACGTTCTCGATGCGATGGCGCGAGCGTTCGCCAGTTTCTCTCCCGATAGTTCTCCCCCAACGTTTCTCCCGTTGACTTTTACGACTTTTCGGGAACCTCTTGAATCCCGGCTCGCCGAGTTGCCCGCCCGTCGTTAAGGCACTCGCGTAAAGACACTGCTTTATTACACGTACAACGATAACTCGGCGGTGTCTCTCTCCGCCATCGCGGCCGAATAATTCGATTCCGATCGTCCTTTCGCGCGATTTTACAACTTCTTCGACGATCGGACGATCGACTGAACGTGAACGAGCGCAAAGCTCGCTCGACTCTGGGTCGTGCTCCAACTGAAGTAAAAGTATCTCGTAGAAGTAATTACGGCAAGGCAGAGGCGACGTGCCGTTTCTTCTCAGTTTTCCATTCTCGGAAATTTCCCTCCGAGAATACCGATGGTAAACGCTAACGTTTCACGAACATAGATTTAGATCAGATCTGGACCACATTTCAGATTAATCTTTAGAGAGAAGAAAATGAAAGTTTTTACAGGCAATCACGTAGGAATCAGAAAGAAAGAGAATATCAATTAAGCTAATTCGATCTGTGAGAAGATGGAAGTCAGTTGTAATTCTCCCAACAGACACGTAGAGATAAAGTTCCCGAGATCTAAGTAGCCACGACTAATTTCTTCGTAGATCAGGTCGAACATCTGAACGATCGGTCACTGCTCGCTTTAACTCTTATTGTTCTGGCGCAGAACAGAACTCTCCGAGGCGTCAGTCAGGTCAATTCCTACAAAGTCTCGGCCCTGCCGAGAATTGCCAGATGTGCTAACATACCTCTCATCTAAGGACACTTTCTCTGGCCTTGGAGAGAGAGACAGTATGTGGAAAGGCTCGGTAGGGCATAAACAAAGCCTTGTCTAGGAAACAAGGNCTCCAGAAAGTCGCCTACCAATTCTAAAGGCGACGTAGATTCACGTAGCGAACAGACGATTAAATGCAGTCACACGTAGACCACTCAACGAGTCACAAGCGGTCCGTCCGAGGACTGACTCCGCGTCAGTTATACATTCATTTTCATTTTACACCAAATCAGTCAGAGGAGTGATTCCGCGTCGGTCACTCATTCACTCACTCAATTCAGTCACTTTGTATTAGTTGAGAAATAAAAGTATTTATTCCACATAACGTCTCATTCATTCCATAAAATATCTCTCCGGAGGCTGTAAAATGCACGACGAGAGAGCGACGAGCGAAGCGGGCAGCAACCAACGTTCACCGTCGAGCTTGCCGTAACACTTATATATAATCAAACAAACGGTCCGTCCAAGAAGCTAGGATTCACCAAGGCGATAATCACCAACGGTTGGGAATTTCACCGAGTAGAGAATGGTCCCCGTTGCACGATCGAGATAACCGGCCAGGCAAACGGCCATTCTCACGGACGCACACGCAGCCTCGGACGACAGCCTTTCGGACCGCCGGAATTCGACAATTTATGACCTCACGCTCGTTAATCTATCCCCCTCGCTAAACTTCTTGACGAGCTTTCGTCGCTACTGTAAACAGAATTAAGAGCGCCAGCAAAGTTTTCCCTCTTCTCTCTGTCCGCTGGCAAAAAGAATATCCGCGGGTCGCTTCGTTAAACAAACTGCCGAGCGGAAGGGGCCATTCCCGGTTTTTCGTGACCGACCGACGCGGGCAAAAGAGGATAGAGATACAGCCGCGCGGGCGTGTAGGTGAGCACGGTGAAAATGTGCGGGATCCGGTTTCTATACCACTTTGAAAAACTCAGTCAGCCGGACGAGCCGAGAAGCGAAAGTTTTCGAACTCGGTGCGTCTCGGAGTGGCGTGCAGGCAACGAACGAGATTGAAATACTCCTCGTTTCTCTCTCCCCTTCGCCTTTCCCCTCTTCTATTTTATTTCTATCTTTCTCTCTCTCTGCTATCCTTCGGTTTTCTTTCGGCTGCTCGTTCGTTCGAACCTAGCTTTCGACGACGCTTTTATCCTAACCCGCCCTCTTCCTTCCTTCCTTCCTTCCTTCCTTCGTGCACAGGGTGCTGCCACGTTCGATTTGTAATTCAGCGAGTTCGAACGGGGGAGAAGAAGCTGGCACGCGGGATGTTGAGTTGACGTTGCGCTCAAAAAGTACCGTAGATAAAGTTTGAATGCGAAAGTTATCGGGAGGGGAGGGAGAAGCGGCGAGGAACACTTATACAGGCGGCGCGGCGGCGAAGGTCGTCGTGGAGGAGAGTGGGTGGAGCGTTTCGAGAGGGTGGCAAAGGAAAGGAGATATAAAACCGGCGCACATGATGGGGATCTGGCTCCGATAGGGAGCTGTAAGTACGTTAACTTTGCCGTTTATGTTCGACGAACGAGAAACACCGAGGATTCCGAGTGAGAAAAGTCAGCTGGAATACCATCTTGCCCCTCTTCTCTCTCTCTCTCTCTCTCTCTCTCCACCTTCGAAGAGATCGCCTTTCGATTCCTTACGATTTTCGCCGGCGTGAGTTTTCCTTGTTACGAGAGAGATACCGTGCATTTGACGGGAACTCGCGTATCTCGTTAAAATATACAACTTCGCTCTAGCTTTCGTATTAATTCTTCGTCGTTGAAAGATTAACACTTTAACTTCACAGGTTCCATTGTTGCATTGCGATCGTTAATTAAATATTGCTCAAGTGCGACGAACGTGCCAATATTTATTACATATGTGTACAAGTGGCGAGTAAGTAAATCAGATTTTTAATAATTATTCTTAGCTTATACGTACGTAATAAGGAATTTCAAACGTAACTGAACAATGGAAAATGCGTTAAAAAATATGAAGCAGGAGAATGAATTACTCGTTGATCTTTTGACAACTTTGTTGGAAAAAATGAAAATATAATACGACGTAAGAGAGACAAATCAAATGATAAAAATCGTTCAAATTTTTGCATAAAGTTACGCAGCATTGTAGATCTGGAAAATCCCCATGAAAAATTATTGGCCATGGAAAATTATGTCGCTTCGAGAGAGAGAGAAAGAGAGAGAGAGTAAATCAATTCTCGACCCATTTCAGCGAAACCGTTACGCCGAGTTTCTCGTTTGTCAGATGACTGCTGTAATCGATTAATATTCCAGTGAATATAACCAGCCACGAATTCCTCTCGGCTAAGCCTAATATTCGAAAACGTTCGTCACGTCTAGCAGCCCGGAGTGAAACGCACACGCCTCGCTTTCAACCTTCCCCTTCGAACGCTATCCTTCTTTTCACTGGCTGTCAGCTGTCAAAGTGAAAATTCCACTGGCTTCAAAAATAACGGAAGATTCGCGATCGTGTTATAAACCTGGACAAACGCCGGCCCTAGGCATGTTCCGTGCCACAAATCCATTGCTGCGTCGGAAGTGGAAGACAAGAAGAAGGTTTACGAAAAGATAATATATCGTGAGATATATTTTATATTTCTGCACTGTTCTTCTCAGATTTAATATTATTTTCTAGAAACATCCTCCTACAATCGATATACTCATTCTTGAAAATTTCCTCCTCTATTTTTCACTTTTCTTAAAAAGTATGCGTGTACCATTGACAAACTGCGTGTACCATTAACAAGTCAATTTCTAGTCAGATAGAACGATAATTAGATGTAATTGATAATAGTGGATCGTACAAAACAAACGTTTACACGAAACAGCGAAAAAATTTATTAACACGACTGTCACCGAAAGCTTCGAAATTTCATGTCTCGTTGCTTCTCTTTCTTCGTTCTTCCTCTCGAAAGAAATTCGCGAGAAAAAGCGAGCGCCCGAAGATTCATCATCGCTGCGCCGTCGTACCATTTTCCCGACGAATTTCAAGGAATTTTCGTAATAGCGTTCAGGATGTAGTAAAGTGATCTGGTTCTCGGATCGTCGGAGCCGGCGTTAATTGTGGAAAAAATGAGACTCATTAAAATGCTAGAGCGCATCAGCTTAAGGGCAAAGTTCGATCGAGTACATCCTGCCAGAGCGGTGGTTTCGCTGCAATTTTCGAGTATTTCTGCAAATTAAGTCAACTATTATATTACAGCGAGGGTAGAGAAGGGTCTCGCTTCCGTTTTCACCGTCAAGAATTTATTCCCGTTATTTCATCTACACGTAGACGGAAAATTTATCTACGTAATCACGTATAATACGATACACATGTTCTTAAAAGATGTTTCTCTTTGTTCCAGGGTTGCGACAACGATCCGGCTCCACTGATGCACCGAGAAGCGGCGGTGAGTTTTTTTATTTAATCGTACATACGAATGAAATGTCAAATCGTGCCATCGAAAATGCGTGTAGTCGTACAATCATATTTTTCGACATAGATTCGCGTTGTGAACTTAAAAAAATTTCTTTTAGAAGTGTAACAGATTCAAAAAAATCGTACAGCAAGTTTTAAGAAGCCACTTCAATCTTAAAGAAGAAACTTCAATCTTCAAGAACGCGATGTATTTAGGTTTTGGAAAAATTGTTTAGTATTTCTGCGGATGATTGAATTTTTTTAATGTCTCGATGTAAGAAAAGTACTCTCATTTTTCCATTTATTGCACGATGTTGAAATATCTTTGAAAAGAACGAACTTCGAACCGTCAAAGTAGAAGCTTCAAGATTTAAAATGAGACCAACTGAATTGTTGTACAATTTCTCTTTCACAAAATTATAGCAGTTTAAACTGCCTGTCGACTGTCCGAATGCTTTCGTGGCGCTTACTTATGTATAACGCGAATGGTTCTTCTTTAATAATAAAAAAACACTTTCAAATGATTGATAATTTAATGCTCGCTCTCGCAACATGAACGTGAATTCGCAATGAATTTCTGCGATATTAAATTAGATATTAAATGTAATTCCATTTCATTAAATGGAATTACGAATGATCTTTTGCCATTTTAAATTATTCGACTTTCTTCTGTCTGCCACCGAACATATTTCTTGCTGATATATGCATAGAAAAAACTAACAGCTATGAAAAATGTAACGACTCTTACACCCCAACTGGCGTAACCCATGTGGTTCGTATAACTCAGTCCTCTATAATGCAGTGGAACGTACATATGCTTCACGTTGCACTCTTACACGAGCTTTTTTTCTTGGTCTACAAACATTTCGAAACGATCGCAACAGAGCGACGAAAGACGTTCGTAAAAATGTAATTCGCCTGATAAAAATGCAACTCTCGCTCAAAATAAGTATGTTGTCCTAGGGCAAATACCAAAATTAGAGAAATTAAAATGGTACTTTCGAAAATGAGAAATGTACAAAATCGGCGTGATTCTATAATGCACGCAAAACTGAAGCTTTACTCCCGAAAATTTTCATTTTGAAATTTCGCGTAACCAAACGCGTGTTAAACTCTGTTATTCTTGACAGAGTAACTTACTGTCGATTACTTACGCCTAAATTGACAATAAATTCTCAAATTCGACTCGTGGTACCACGGTTTCGGAAGTACTCTGCATTTGCAAAAGAAAAAAGAAAAAATTGCAAAATTGTATTGTCCACGCCAAAAATCTCGTTATAGCAATTGTCTCAAGAGTTTCGAACGATGTACGTTGCTTGAGGGAAGATCGGCAAAGGAGGCAAGAGAAGTAACTCGATCGACCGTGAACAAGCAACGTACATTAGTATAGTTGAATTCGAAACAGAAAATTGAGAATAAAAGCGCGCCTTTGAACGGATTCATGGAGCGGTTGCAAGAGGCTCCCCTCTCCGCTTCCCGCCCTCGGTTACCGGTTCAAGCGTTAATTTTCCGAATAATGGCAACTTGGCCGGTACGCGCGCTCGTTCCGCGGTGCTCATTAGCGTAATTGACGTAAGCCTCTCGATTAACGAGCGCGTTTTGTTAGCTGAGCGAGACACGGAAAAATGAACGGACCGCCGATAAATTTCACCGCCGGCGAATGGCAGTGAAATAAAGATGTTAAAGCACGACTGTCAGCCTCATAAATCGTCGACTCGTTTCACTTTGCCCCTCGCTCGCCGATACTTTCAAACTGCGCCGACACGCGGCACCCGGGGCTGCTGTATCGCCTGGATAAACGAAATTTCCGTGGTTCGCGATTTCCTAAATTTCGAAAATTCTCGTTTCCCTCGCGTGTTATCGTGGATCCGCGAAGGAAGAACTCCCGTGCGAATTCCGGATATCGTCGTCGTCTGTCGCGACGAAGTATACGGAAGATGAGAACGAAAGAACGGGGACGAGGATGATTTTTTACACGTGTGACGTGTAAAGGAAGATTCCTCTCGTGTGAGCGCGGGTCTCGATACATTTCGAGCGTTATATATATATATATATTTTTTTTTACGGATCGTTATTACGTATATGGGTCGCGTGTATTTTTTTTTTTTTTTTTTACGTTAAACGCGTTACGAGGATTCGGTTTATTGTGCGAAAGGTTTGCGACATAGTACGTTTGAAAATCGAACAACTGCAAATTGGCTCGTTTAGTTTCAGGAGTATTATGAAGTGATCTTTTGTACTTCGTCCCGTTATATTTATTTAACTTTTACTGCCAATTCCCGATATCTCGCTTTTACTTCGCTTTTACCTCCCGAACAACGCCAGTGTGTTTTTATGAATAAATTTGTAAAAAAAAAAAAAAGAATTCGAATCATACCCATGCCCTGAAATTAAATTTCACTATTCAGTCTCTTTAAACTTGAAGGATATGGAATTAATTGCATTCTTTTTTAGAGTGTTTATATTTAGAGAAATGTTGAATTTAATTATAGAGAGTATATGCACATTTCCGGTACATAAATTGTGCGAGGAAAATTACTTTCGTTAATAACGAATTCTTTTCAACGTGAACGGTTTGAAACTGATATCAACTATTTATTTTTCATAATATCATTCTCTCAATGCGACGTCGCCATTCTATTTAGATTTTCGCTGACACTTTTTATTTAATGCTCAGCCATCTATCTCGTACATAAGAGAAATTTCTCAGTTGCTTCACGATACAATACTAGCCAGTCTCTTTCATCCGTAGAGTGTTTTTCTAGCTTTTCGAAACAACATCTCGCCCTAAGACTTTTTAAGCGAGGATACACACCAAGGCCCCGATGTGTATCGATTGGCTGGGAGCGAAAAGGCCAATTAAACTAACCTTTATCGTTCGTTAAAAAATACCGCGTGAATTTGAACGAAGCAGCTGCGTCGAAAATTCTCACCGAAAGTGAAAAAAAGGAAGAAATGGTAACGAAACAAAATCCTCCACGGTTGAGGTATCGCGTATATCGGCGAAAGAAAAAAAAAAAAAAAAAAAAAAAAAGAAAAAGAAAAAAACGAGATAGATAATACCAGTTAATGAAAGTGTGTCCAAATGATATCAATGATCTGCC